CACGGCGCGCGAGCGGAGCCCGCAGAGCGCCGCAGAGCGCCGCAGAGCCACAAACACCCAGCATCGAGCATCCAAATTATTTGCCGCCAAAAGTACAGTGCTGCCGCCGCGCCGACTCACGGCACACACTTGCTACACTGGATGCAACCCGCAAGGCTCGTTCCGAACAGTGCCGCCGTCGCTCTGTCTCCCTCGCACGCGAGCGGCATTCCCCGCAAGAGCGAGAGAGACGGCCGCCGGCCATTGGCGTATTTATAGAGCGACAATCGAATCTAATCGGGGCCGCGAAGGGCCGGGCCCGGGGCCGGCCGTGCTGTCCTGCAAGCGGCGTGGCTGGCGGCGCGCTGCGCTGGCTGCGCTAGGCGGCGCCGCAGTGTATAAATGTAACGGCCGGTGCCTCCACCTTTCCCTCTCTCCATCTCTCTCTTCCTCCCTCTTCCTCTCTCTTCCTCGCCGGAATGGGAATCGCTTGGCGAAGAAGGCCTCCGGCCCGGCATCGTCTTTTTGCGCGTGATTCGGCGGCAAGCAGCCGAGCGACTCCGCCACTCTGTCTCTCTCGCTCTCACGGCGCGGCCCGGCGCGGCCCGTTGGGGTGCGAGAGAGACAGAGCGACGAATCAGACGACAGGTGGGACCGGATGTGGCGATCGGCGTGACGGCGCGGAGGGACTTCCTCGGGGTGCCTCACTCACGGCGGATTCGCCGTTCGGACACATTCTCGCTCGCCAATCGCCCATCCGGGACTCCTTCCGAACTCACTGAAATTCAATCAAAATAAACATCATCGTCGTCGTCGTCTGCGGCGGCGGCGGCGTCAGCGAGGTGGGGGTGGGGTTGCAGGGGGCGGCATGACCGCGTCTCTAGACGGCACGCCAAATACGCCGCGGTGCTCAAGACCTCGCCGTCGTTGTTGTTGCTGTTGCCGTGCGTTCCGGCGGCAGGCCAAGCAGAGCGCCAAGCACAACACGGGGTGCCGGCGGTGGCCTGGCGGTGCCCTGGCGGTGCTGGCCGCTGTATCCGGGCAGGCGAGGCGGCGGAGATCACGCCGAGCCGAGCCGGGGTCGTCCCGCCAGCCGCGCGTGTTTGTGTTGGGTGTCGGTGTGTGTGCACTGTGAGTGTGGGTGTGTCGGCGCAAACTCGCACCGCAGCTGCTCGCAGCAGGACCGCGTGCGCGATTCAGACGGACTGCGAGTCCTTGGCCGTGAAAAAAGGAACGAGTTTGTGTGTGTGTGTGTGAGAGAGTGAGAGACTGCTGCAGTGCACCATAGCGTGGCGCGGGCCACACGCCGGGCCGCACCGCGACACAGGGCCCGGCGCCCGGCGCGCGGCGCGGGGCTCGGCGGCGGCCCGGCGGTACAGTAGCGCAAATAGCAGTGCAATTTGCGTTATCAGGCCTTGGTGGGCCTTCGGGTCTTTGGGCCCCGGCCGGTGCACCGGCATTCTTGGGAAACCAAAATACAGCAAAACGCAAAAAAAAGGACAAATATTTTTTTTTTGACACACTCCTCCATTTTCTGCTTGCTATAGGGGCCTCGCGGAAAGCTGGACGTTGACCCGGCTGAAGAAATTGGTCGATTTTCATGCCAACAGCGAGTGTCTGAGTGTGGTGCAGCTCGAACGGCGGAACCAGGCGAACCAGGCCCGGACCGTTTTCATGCTAATACGACGCCGCGATCTCGTTGCTCGACAAGGCAGGCAAGGCAGCCGGTCCAGGCCGACCACCGGGCTGCGTCCGAACTCGACTCCGTCTCACTGCCTGGGGCGTCCCGTCCGAATGCGAGAGAGACAGAGAGACAGCGAGGGAGCGTAAGTGGCAGGCCCGCACCCTTGTCGCGCTCGTCGTGGCCCAGGCGGAACGCGGGAACGGCACCGCGAGGAGAGTGGCGCCGAATTTGAACCACACCGCCGTCGGTTCTTGGTTCACTATTTCGCAGTGTCGGCGCGCAAATAATTCGAGTTTGTTGTCATGAATGAATGAAAGAGGAGGAAGGGGAAAAACAATTTGAAGTCGCGTTCTCTGTGTGTGCGAGCGCGCGCGCTAGTGTGAGTGAGTGTGGTGGTGACGCTTTGTCAAGCCCAGGGCACCTCGCTGGGCTTCCGCGATGGTCACGCGAAGAGAGGATTCAACGCAGAGCCAGAGTCCGACGTGCGCAGGTGAGCGGGGTAAAAAAAAGAGGGGGGGGGGGGGGTAACGATGATGCTCGCGGACACGACACGCTTTTGACGCGACGCCCGGCGCGAGCTTAATTATCCTCCACGTCAAAATGTTTTGGCACGTAATGAGTTATTGTCGCGGCGCGGCGATTTGGCTGCCCGCCTTTTCGGTTTTGCCGATTGTTGACGAGTGTCGCGGTCGCACCTCTTCGCCGACCGGGTGAACGGACGGGCGCGGGGTTTGGTTGGGGTTTAGGGCTTTAGGGACGAGCGGACAAAGTCGATGTTTGCCCGAGAGTGGCGGGCGCTCGTCTGCGACACTGTGTGTCTGTCACGGGACGGGTCCTCGCGCATGCACGCCGTTCGTGCGTGTGTCCCATAACGAAGACAGCCGCGCTCGACACGCCAGCGCGCTAGCGTCAATGTAATGGCTCCAGACGGCTCACCTGTCGGAGCACACACACACACACACACACACACACGGAAGAAGGAACCCGTCGACTGATGTCCGCCCACAGTGTCGCACGCTCGGTCCCTGGGACCCAGGACGCCCCCACACAAGTAAAACCAAACATTGGACGCGTTGTGCAGGCGAGTTGACGCCTCGGTGCCTCCCGCCACGCGGCGGCTCTCTGTCTCTCTCGCACCCGGACTGTCGCGCCCCTGAGTGCGAGGGAGACAGAGCGAGGAGACGGTCCTGGGGAATCCCGGGCAGCGCAGCCCTGCTGGGCCCTCGCCGCGCGCGGGCTATTTCCGATTGTCATCGCTGTAACGATGTGTTTCCCCATCAGAACGATCCTCGGAATCTCTCTATCCCCCCTCTTCCCCCTCCCCCGCCATGACATGTGTCGACACTTTGATTCCCCGAAGCCACTGTGTGGGCGGTGCCTCCTGGAAGCCAGCTGCCTCCGGGAACGAAGAGCGAACAATGTCGTTATGTTTGCTTTCTTACAGTGTGCCCCGAAATGGGATGTGTGCTCGCGGGCCGCCCGCGGCCTCACGGTGGAGGTGCATGGCGAAGGGCAAGCCGTCGGTATCTCGCAGTAGTCTGGTTCCAAACAGTTGCTTTCGTCGCTCTGTCTCTCTCGCACTGGAGGAGCGCCGCGAACGGGTGCGAGAGAGACAGAGCGACGAGGCACTGTAGGGCCTGCTGGGAGGGGCTCGGGGATCAGGGTGATAACGAAACCACGGGCTGACGTCGTGGAGCGCGCAGCATCCCGGCTGCAGGAGTCACCATAAGGCACTCGGCAGCTCTGAGTTTCCTCCGCCCGAGCGCCAAGCAGCCAAGCGCTGCGGGCTTGCCCACCTCGCCCCTGCCTCCGAGCGCCGTGCGGGCAGGCAGTGCCGTCACACAGGCGAGCGCTGCGGGCTTGCCCACCTCGCCCCTGCCTCCGAGCGCCGTGCGGGCAGGCAGTGCCGTCACACAGGCGAGCGCTGCGGGCTTGCCTACCTCGCAGGCGTTTCCCGTCGCCAGCAAGTGGCGTGGTCTGCGCCGTCGCCGTGGACTGAGCGAGTTTGTTTGCGTGTTGCAGGCCGCGGGCCGTCGCTACCCCATGCCCCTGGGTGCCTGGCCGCTGTCCTCGGCGCTACCCCCGCTGGGCGCGCTGGGCGCCGCGAGGAGCGAGGACGACCTGCTGCTGCCGCCCAAGTCCCGCCGCCTCCAGTGCGTAATGGACTTGGCCAGATGACGTCCGGCCCGGCCTGCATGGTGTGGTGTGCGTGCATGACATGAGCGGCGACCCCGTGCCGCCGACCGTGCCGCTGACAGACCAAGCCGCGCCGCTGCGACACCTCTTCGCCATGAAGTCCCGCGACGTGCTCATGGACCACGTCATGGTCACCATCCCCGAGGTGCTGGACGGCGCGGCGCTGAACCGGTCGCCGTCGGACGAGAGCCTGCAGCAGCACCACGTGCACCACTCCGAGGACGAGGCCGGAGCCGAGGGGCCCGACGAGGACCACGAGACGGACGACCTGGACAGCGACGACTCCAACAAGGTGACCCCCGCCACGGGCACCGCCGCCGTGGCCGCGGCCGCCGCGGTGACGGCCGCCGTCGTGACGAGCACCTCCGCGCCGAGAGTCAAGCGGCTGCAAGCCACGGCCTGGACCACCAGCGACCGCCAGAGCAGGAGGTAAGTCTGAACGGAGTGGGTTCGAGTCCCGGTTGTGTGACGCTGTGACGCTGCAAGCATGATTTTCGTTGTTTTTGCCTTGCGGTTTGCTAACTTTTCAACAATCTTTTCGGCGTGTGGAGTGTATGGCTGTGTTGGCCCCACGCCGCTCGTCGCTTGTCAAATCAAACACGCCGCCACTGGATGTTGACGCGCCGCCGCGACGCCACTCGGTGACAAAGCGCCGCGTTGTGCCGCCAGTCCGGGCAGTCCCGGCAGTCCCGGCAGTCCCGGCTAGGACACACCAACAATCTAGCGGCCCGGACCGGGCAGGGCCTTTTCTTGTTTTCGGCTTCAGAGTCGCCTCACGTCGCGCGTCGAATCGGACTCCGGGACGTTGACGCCAGGTTGACGCCGTGCTTCTTGTTGCAGACCGCGGTCGGCATGCAGCAGCAACTCCTCGCTCGCGGGCTTCGCGGGCTTCACGGGCCTGTCGGCGTTGCCCTCGCCGACGGCGGGTCCCGCACCGCGGCGCTCGGGATGGCGGGGGCACGCGGCCCTGAGCCCCATGGCCCTGGGCCCCACGGCCTCGCTGGTGGGGGCGGGGCTCATCGGGGCGGGCAGGGCGGCGGCCGCGCCCCTGCAGCTCCCCGCTCACTACGTGGCCGCCAGCGCCAGCGCCAGCCCGGCCGCCTACGACCTGCCGCTGCTGTCCAGGAGGGCGCACTCGGACATGCTGCGCGCCGTCAACTCGGCCCACGACCTGGTCAGTCCACCAACCACTTACCAGTGCCGCGTCACGCTCGGGGAAGGGGGAATTTCCATGTCATTATGTCTCTCTGATGTCAAAAGTTTTGCGAAAAACCAGTCCTTTTGACACCTGCGTTGACGTGTCAGACTGCCATTCGGTCACTAGGCGATCTCGTCTGTTTACCGACGGGGGTGTACTGCTGCTGGCGAGCTCACCGCTCCACAGTGGCGCGAAACGCCAAAAAATGCGACATCGTGCGACTTAAAATAATTTTCCGATCTGTCTGCTTTTTTCACTGCGTATGGTCATTTTATGATGTTCTCTAGCAAAAGAAATGATTTCCTAGTAATAGCTGGGCATATAGAGCTAAAAATCGCGAAAAACATGAAAATATTGTACCAAAATCTGCCATTTTTTACACGTTTTTTGCCCGTAAAACCGACCTTTTTTCGAACGGGCAACTTTTCTCAACAGATTCTGAAAGCCAAGGACAAGGCCTACAACTTTTGTTATGGTCGCAACGCTGTAGCGAGGTCGGCCATTCGACTTTTCAGGCCTCAAAGGTTTTTCTTTCGTAAATTTAATTGGAAAATTATTCCTATTTTGACAAATTTTGTTATTTTTGTGCCCCTGCGGTCCGTTTTACGTCCAAACCAGTATCAATCCATCCAATCAAGTTTATATGAACTGGAAATAGATGTAACGAGGCAACACAGACCTCAGGGGCACAAAAATAACAAAATTTGTCAAAATAGGAATAATTTTCCAATTAATTTACGGAAGAAAAACCTTTGAGGCCAGAAAAGTCGAATGGCCGACCTCGCTACAGCGTTGCGACCATAACAAAAGTTGTAGGCCTTGTCCTTGGCTTTCAGAATCTGTTGAAAAAAGTTGCCCGTTTGAAAAAATGTCGCTTTTACAGGCAAAAAACGTGTAAAAAATGGCAGATTTTGGTACAATATTTTCATGTTTTTCGCGATTTTTAGCTCTATATGCCCAGCTATTACTTGGAAATCATTTCTTTTGCTAGAGAACATCATAAAATGACCATATGCAGTGAAAAAAGCAGACAGATCGGAAAATTATTTTAAATCGCGCGATGTCGCATTTTTTGGCGTTTCGCGCCACTGTGCGCTCGCTGCGGAATCCATGGCGACCTCCAGGAAGTCCGCCGCCTCGTCTTTGTTGCCGTAGAGCTGCCTGAAGAGTGTGTGCGCTGTAGAAACCCACCGAGTGCTGGGTTCCCCCACCACAGAGTCGCACAGCCTCCGCCCGGGTGTCCCGACACTGTCCGCCGAGCCTCCCTGCGGAGCGGAATCGCAGCAGTGCTAATCCCCGCCTCGTTCGTTGAGCCGCTTGAGCCGCTTCAGCCCATCCGCGCTCATCTAAAGCAGTTAGACAACTAGGGCGCCCTGCACTGTGGTTGTTACGACGACCCTTTGACCGCAGGGCACCGCGATCCGCCGCCAGGGCCAGCCTTGCGCCGCCGACGCGTCCCTGTACGGCTCCTCCGGGGCGCTGCACCACCAGCACCAACTGCTCCACCAGCTGCAGCACCAGCTGCACAAGCTGCAGCGCCAGCAGCACCTGCAGCTCTCCGGCGCAGCCAAGGCCCCGCGGACGTCGTCCACGTCGTCCCGGTCGCCGTCCGCCGCCTCCAACGGCGCGTGGCGGGTCTCGGGGGGCAGCCCGCAGTCGCCTGAGCCGGCGGCGTCCCAGCGGCAGGCTTCACCGGTCGCCTCGTCGCCGGCCGTGCAGCCCGGCCCCATCGCCGTGCACTCGAGCCAGGTGTCGCTCGTGAGCCGCGGCGCCGGCCCCGCCAGCACGCAGTGCCAGTGCGTGTGCCACCACTGCGGGGACCACGCCAGGCGCGCCGGCCAGGTGAGTGTCTCGGAGAGTGTCTCGGGGAGTGCCTCAGTCGACGGCATGCGCGAGGCGCGCGAGACCGACCACCGCCGCGACCATCCAACGGGCCGCCAACGCGATGGCCACCCTGCGTCCTGGCGCCCTTTGCTGCCCTGGCGCGCCGTGGTGAGTGGCAAGTGGGATCGCCCGCAGGCGGCCGGCAGGCCCTCTGTCTCTCTCCCACTCAGGGAACGATTCGCTGGGCGCGAGAGGGACAGAGTGAGCGTGCGAATGCGGGCGGCCCGACCGGGTTGGTAGCGGAAGGGTGACCCTTCGCGACTGAAAGGGCCCCAGGTGTCGCGAAAATCGTCAGCCAAAATGTGACGCGTAGAAGCAGGGAATGGCTGCAGTTTGAGCCCCTTGAGGCTGTTTGCCAGTGTAATGAAGCGGGAAAGTGATGCATCTCCTCCTCCATATTCACAGGGCAGCGAGCCGGGCTCCTTCTACGAGGACGGCCGGCCGATGACACCCGAAGGGCTGTCGTGGCGCCGACTGCACATGAGCCGAGCCAAGCTCAAGGCCACGGCCACCACCTCGGAGCTGCTCTCCGGCTTCGCGATGGTCAGTGCCTGTTCCGCGAGCCTCTTTGCCGCGCGCCGCGCCTTTTGAGAGAGTCGCTCGAAGTAACACGTCTGCTCTGCAGGTGGCGATGGTGGAGCTGCAGATCAACGAGCCCACGCAGGTGCCCGAGTGGCTGTTCGTGCTGTTTGCAGTGTGCACCACGGTGCTCGTGGCCGTGCACATCTTTGCCCTCATGATCAGCACGTACCTGTTGCCCAACATCGACGCCATCAGCAAGCTTCAGGTACGAACACTTTTAGCTTTGTCTTATAATTGTTAAAACTTCTTTCAATTTGAAAGTGAAATCTGAGATCTGAACGAACCCGCCCCGGTTTTGGCTGCAGGTGTCTGGGCTGGTGAGCGAGAGCCCCCACGAGCGGATGCGCGGCTTCGTGGAGCTGGCCTGGGCCTTCTCCACCGTGCTGGGGCTCTTCCTGTTCCTGGTCGAGGTGGCCATCCTGTGTTGGGTCAAGTTCTGGGACTACTCGTTCACGGCGGCCATCGCCGCCACCGTCATCGTCATCCCGGTGCTCGTCGTGTTCGTCGTCTTCGTCGTGCACTTCTACCACAGCCTGGTGGTGTACAAGTGCGACGCCTCGCTCAGCGACATGGAGCAGCTCGAGGCCACGCTCAAGAAGCTGGACAAGGGCAGCCCGGTCTGACCCTTTTCAGACCTGTTGATTCGACAGGTCGGCCGGTCGGTGGCACGTTCAGTTCCATGTCGATTATACGACAGTGGTACTGCCCTCGAGTCAAGACTTTTCAGTGTGGTGTTGCTGTGCATAAGACTGAAATATCTTCCACTTGCTGGCTGCGCACTTCGTTGCAACGCGGTGCGGCAGTCGTTGTTTCTTGTATGTGATACAAAGGTCTAGGCTGATGTTATGTAGTATTTTGTTAATAATGTTTTAAATGTGTGAAAATGCTGGTCGTGTAAATAGGTGTTGCTGGCAGCACTGAAATTTAATTATGTAACTGGGTGTGACGAGTATTATATTAAAAGTGTCACTTTCAACGCGTGTAAATTTGCGTCAGTAACACATGAGATGCAATAAAACTGTACCAGAGTGAATATAATAACATATGAAGCCGTCATTTGACACAGCGACGCCAAAAATTCCAATATTTTTACGAAATGGCGTGTTTTTTGCTTGAACTGTCTAAGGCACTACAGGCAGTCAACAGCATCTGAGAGGGAGTGAGTCATGAATGACACAAAGAACACATCGAGTGGGCCGCTCTTGGCAGCCTACTAGCTTTATTAAAACCATCACCAACTTAACAAATTCGCTTTGATATAGAGCAACAGTCACGCCACAAGCCTAGAACAGGGCTACTGTTACCACAACATAGAAGACTTGAAAACACATTTGCGCATGAAAACAATATTTGTTACTGAACAATAAGTGGTTATACATAGTATCACCTCATCAATTAAAATTTAAACATATACAAGAACAGCCTTTGTAATTTTGTGTCTTTTTTACATATATATTGGCTGCAACTAAAATGTACATAAAATGAAACAGAGTAATGTTTGTCATCACAAAAAAATTTGTGATCATAAAACATCATAAAACATCATAATTGGTCCTAACGGAAAAATACTTAGCACGGAAAGATTACAGGTTTTGTTTCGTGCACATATGATAGTCATCCGGAACTTTTAAATCCGCGGAGGATCAAAACAGCGATATTCGGGGTCAGGTCAGGGCTCACTCATGGCACACGTTGGACACAACAAAACAACAAAAAAGCTAGCCAAGTTTAAAAAAATATCCACAAGTCCACTTTGACTGTGGTCAATGGTAGTAGATAAGAGACTTCGCTGGAAATTGTCCATTTTTGTCCTAAGCAACTAACACGACCAAAGAAAATAAATACGTCTTTCGTTCAAGGTTTTCAAGTGGACCAGATCTCGCATAGAACGCACCTATTATGAAAATTAAGTTTGACTTGATCAAGGTTTTAGGAATAGGGACTGCAAAAGATAAGCCTTTTAATGGAGCACAAATATTTATACCTTTACCAAAAGTCCGAACAAATGCATAAAAAGACTTTACCAATAGGGAAAGGATAAATCTACATTGAATTTTACGCACTGATAGTGGCACATTTCATAAACTCTAAATTGTTACGTATTTTTTGTGGCTCAGAAATAGTTCATAATGGCAAGCGCTGATGATCTTGAGAGAAAGTGAGAAAGATTAGAGAAGAAATTGTATTGAAATTGTTTTCATGTTAAAAATGAACTATTTAAAAACTTTAATGTTGTTATGAAGTCATTTTTCTCACTACAATAATAGTTTAAAATCTGCGACTACCAACCTACTGAAAATGATGATTGATGCAAGAAGCTTTTTTTTTCGAGGCTGATTTGAGAGAGATATATGTCACAACAAACAAGACTCATCAGAGATATGACAGAAACAGTAGTCTGGACTCTTCATGGACAATGTTCAACGAAATAAATATTCCGACATGCTAAGTACTCTAAGTAACAGTGAAATGGGGTGTACAAAGTGTCTGAGCATATGAAAACCAAAGTCAGCTCAATATAAACATACCCCTGCGCCTTGAATACTGGGGCCACTTTTGGGAGCCCCTCATTACAAGTTTCCCTTTGATGCACGTCGTGGTATTTAGAAACGAAACATAATCATGGAAGGCAAGGAGTTAATCTACTATCAGTGAAAACTACCATGTCCGACCTCTGGACTATCCATGCTGGGCTGCTAAAGCTCGATGTTATTATGCTGAGGCATGTGCGATGCTCGGTACAATTTGAAGTTGTAATTAAAAATTAATTTACACTAAATTACGATGTTCTATTTTGACCAAAGTGTCGTTCATAATACTGAAGCTTATCACGGCGTTGAACGGCAAACACACCATTACCGCCCAGGGCAACCATCTTTGCAAGACCACCAACACATGAAGCGACTTCAAAACATTTCCAAACAGCCTCATAGATTATACAAAAGCACATAGCTAGTCTCGAACATGATATAGTTATCCAACCGGGTGTCCACCGGCATGCCCTTGGAAAAGTGCCACAGGCGTCGCCACGTCACCACGGACTGTGTGACTCGTATACATTTTGCCAAGGTAGCGGTGGGACCCGCCCAGGAAGCGACAAGCAAAGTACACTCGAAGTACACCCTGTCTGTACGGGGCTGGCGCAGACAACAGTAACAACCCAGTGGCGAAGCTCGCTGCCAACCTACCAACTACCCCGCGTCTGCCCGCGCCACCGTGCCGGCACGTGGCCCGGGCCAGGTTAGGTTGGTACGCCTGGCTACGCCGCTCAGTCGCGCGCGGTCCGACGATGATATAAGGTATTTACAGGACTTAACTAGCGGACGAACCACGCTTGACTAGTTTTGATTGGTGCTTTTTCAGTGATAAAAATTGTACTATTTATAGGATATGAAAGCGACCGCTCCTACGCGGCCTCCTTGTACTCAGACGCCAGCCGCACCACTGGGGGTCTGCGCCAACACTCCCGGACGATTTTCAACAAGGGGGAAACAGTAACATTTTATATAGCTTAAAATGGCAACATAAATAAACACTCACTCAACACTGTGCTCTGGTAAAGAACACTATAAATTTCAATGAATATGCATGTAATTTTTTTTCAATAGGCTTAACAGCTTACGGTTAGATATGTACTCGAATTTCAAAGTCGCACCCGAAGCACTGCAGGCGATAGGACACACTCCGAAAAGTTCTCTCGACAAACAAGGAAAACCGAAAAATAAATAGAAACCGACATCACTTGCCGCCCAGGCCGAACTTCATGAAGATGAGCTCCTTGCCCTTGGACAGCAGGTTGTCGGCGGGGTTGTCGCCGCCCGTGAGGCCGGCCGTCAGGTCGCCCAGCTTCTGCATCAGATTGGGTGCGGGGGGGAACGTGGACGTGGTGTTGGCCGTGGGGGATTCCTTGTTGTTGGGGATCACGAAGTCCGGCACCACCTTGGGCACGCCCTTCATGGGCGGCTGCTGCTGCTGACGTTGCTGTTGCTGCTGTTGCTGTTGTTGCTGCTGTTGCTGCTGCTGTTGCTGCATCATCATCCCCTGGCCCTGCTGGCCGGGCTGGTTGTAGTCGCCGGGCCCGCCGTCCATGTAGCCAGAGGGGTGTCCGCGGCCTCTACCACCTCTCCCGGCCGGGCCGCCTCTCCCCCTCTGCGCCCCCAGGGGGCCCCCCGGACCCTGCAACAGCACCTCCACGTCAAGGCACGCCCCCACGGCCCTACAGTGTCACAGCATTTGTTCCGATTTTATTTCCAAAAAGGTTTTTGAATCGCAAAGCTTGTTCGTCATGTTTTTAATTTTGCGGTGAAATGGAATTTATCATAGATTTTGAAAAAGAGGCTTGTGCCGTCGGCATTTGCGCGGTAGGATGGGCTATTTTAACTGGGCGTGGCTACACTGGAATGAACTGCCCTCGACCGGCCCTCAAGGAGGGCAGTCCACAAGGCGGTGCACCAGCGGGGTGTTGCTGGTCAGTGCCGCCCTCGGCCTGTTTGCCGCTCAAGGCATGCACGGCAAGGCTCAGCAAAGGCACGCAAGCAGGATTCGACAACTCGAAGACTCGCCTACGAGCCATCGGCCATCGGCCGATTAACGCGATGTCCAAGACACTTTCAGTAGTACCGTTCAAGAACTTTTGTTTTAAAGTACGGGTCGGAGCAGAGCTTAAGCCACGTTATTAAACCTGTTTTGCGGTGTTGTCGGTAACAACTTGAGGTGACGTTTACCCGCCAACAGGCATTAATGACAGTACACGCTAGTTTATACAAGACACAAAATACCTCATTTCTTGGTCAACAGGAACTGGGTCATGAACTTTTCTACAATAACAACTACCACAGCTACTTCTAAAGTACGTCTACAACACAATAAGCTCACAAAAACTACAAGCATGCGTAGTAGAAGAGGGGTCTAGGAACCGCTTGGTCGTGAGAAAGTAGTTAGCAACGGAAAGAACAGATGAGAGGAAAGGAAAGAGTGACGACATGTTTCTTTGGTGGTATTCCTCTGCTTTCTAGTAGAAGCCACTGTGTAGCCCACGTGTGCGTTTTCACGCAGTGGCGCTACTCCGTCTGTGTGCTATTTTTGAATAGCACAAATCGCTGGATCGCCGCCCTGTCTGTTCCGTGTGTAAAGTCTGTACGCGCTACAAAGTATGTGTGGGCAGCGAGCTGCAAAGCTCTGCAAAGCTCTGCAGTGGCTGGGGAGTGTCGATCGTAGAAGCGAGAGACAACATCTAAAGAAACTGATGCGAGTGACTTTACGAGTATCGGCGTGCGGCGATGTTCAATCCCACAGACTTTTCGTCTATCACCATTACCCTAGATAACACAAGGTTTTTAAAAGGTCTTATCTAACTTTCCGTTTTCTCGTCACTAGCGACTCGGTGACAGTCCTATGTGTCTATTGGCACCCTCCGTCTCCGTCTAGTCCCATAAGGGAAACAAACTCTAAGGCAGCGGTTAACGCTAATAATGGCGCAGCTTGGGTCGTTTGGTCGTCCAGTAATGCAAGTTGTCAATCAAACTAGTGTCACCAACACGACGGCCTGCGGCAAGGCGCAGTTCACAGATCCCACCCGACTCTGGGTCTGGGGCCGTGCAGCCCTGCGGACAGACCGGATAGGCCCTGCGTCTGGGGTTGCCTACCCTCGAGGCCCAACAGCACTGCAAGCAGGCCTGGCACGCCCTGGTGGGCGTCAGGCTACGGATTCGGACGGGCTGCGCACCCGACCTTGCACACTACTAAGTTACAAAGTAAAACAGTTACAATACTGTTTCTTAGTCACTATGCAAATTAAGAGCTTCTTGACAATTGTTTTTAGAAAAAGAAAGACTTGGGTGAGGGAGTACAGGTATCAGGAAAACATGCCAGTCTGACGCAAAACCCTCAGTCGTCTACGGCGTTACGGTTTCAAAGCAAACAACACTCACAAACAACAAAGTCTGAGTGGAATGATAAGACGGACAAGGGGCGGGTCGGGGCCGAGTGCCCCCAAATACACAAACCACGGACACAGAGTGGGGTGGAGTTAGGGGCTGGCCGTCGTGTGGAGAACAGTGCACTGCATATAGTTGTCGTGGCAGCACTGCTAGCCGCAGGACACACTGAGGCGTTACGTGGATACGATCTACTCGCCACCCCCACAATCTCCATACTGCTCAGAAACAAGTTACGCCAAGGCGAGCGAGCGCGAATGGGTTGTTTTAGGGCGCGATTGAATATTTTTATGGTTTAAATTTAATCTTTGACAATTTTGTTACTTTTTAAGTTGAAAAAAGTTATTACAACCTATCCCAGTATTTTGTTTTTTTCCCTTGTGAATTTGCGTGAAAATGATTTAGAATTAACGTTTTTGTGATCATGCAGTTGCAGTATGAAGATTATGGTGTGTCCGTGGTGGCACATTCTCCTACTAGAGTACTTTTAGGGTTTGATGCTGTGATAATACTGTAGTTAGTGACCTTGATGTTGTTCCTCTGGACTTACCTGCTGATGATAGCCTAACTGTGAAGGTTGAGGGAAGTTGCCATCTAATGGAAAACAAAGAAGAAGATAGAGAGAGAGAGGCAGGAAAAAAGAAAGGAAGAGACCGAAGAGGAGGAGAGAGACACAGAGAAAGAAAATCGTTTCGCATGAGAGTCATGTGATGTGAAGTGCCACCAAAACAGACAACAAACGAAACAAGAGAAAGAAAACATGAGTTAATAGTTGTGGTTGCTTTTTAGATCTGTTCTTTGCCCACCCATCACCCCTTCCCGCAATCGCTCGGGCGCCCTCATCCCCCTCCAGACGAATTGATACGAAAGTCAATTTTTGTTTCGAGTACCTTGCCACTCTGCAACAAAGCTGGTTTTTAAAGCAGGTACACGCGACTTTTCAAAAACCTGTCTGTTAGAGTAAAAACTTGCGGCCCACCTGGGAGTTTGACTCTGTGAAGTTCAATTTGTAAAAACTGTTTCAAATTTTTGGGATATTTTCTTTTGGAAGAAAGGAAGACAGATAGAAGGAGACAGAAAGGTAGAAAAAAACAAGGATGGGTATTGCAACAAAAAAATACCTGCTACAAATCTACAAGGTAACAAGAATTAAGGTGTGCAAAATGTGTTAAAGTGCCTTCAGACCCGGAAATTACTTTTCCTGGGTGTTGGGGATTTGATATTAATTTTAGAAAAAGGTCTATTAGTGCTCATATGCAAAACCTCAGAGTTCAGAGAATGGTGGTTTACGTGGCAGTGGTTTGCGCTGCCGCCCCAGGAGCTACATCGTCACAAGATTCGCCTCCCACTTGTGACTTGTGAGACCATCGCACCAAAAAATGTGACAGTGGGGGTAGTAGCGATAGTTAAAAGAAAGAGAGAAAGATGAAGGGAAAAGAGCGAGCGAGCGAGCGGGAGGGAGATTTTGAAGCGTACAGCCAACACCGAAATGTTTTGTATATAGAGAAAAAATGTCGAGAGGAAAAATATATATTCGTCACGCAGATGTGAAAAATGCCATGACTGTTTGTTGCTGTTGTTTAAGAGGGCTGAGTGAAGAACATGAATAAACACAGCACACGTGTTTGGCAACGTAGTGGTCGTGGCGGACGGCCGAAACGTCGCCGCTCTCTTTCCGCAGTCCGCCACGGCACAATCAACAGCGAAGACAGAGACAGAGAGCGGACTACTCTGCACTTGCCCGGGCTGCCAGGTCCTCGGAGACTTTAGCCACTCTCAGAGAGCACGGGAAAAGCGAGGACCTTGCAGGAAGGGCGGCAAGGGGGCGCCATGCGCGGTCTATTGGACCGTGGTCTACGGGACCGTGGTCAAATGGATCGCGGTCTAGTGACCGTGGTCTAAAGGGCCGCTGGCATGGCGTCCCCTTGGAGTGAGTGAAGGCGACGTGCCGGTGGGGCTCGGGGCGCGAGGGCCGCGGGGCTGCGAGGGCATTGAGCCTCCAACATGCCGGCGGGCCCCGAGCCTCACCGGGCATAGCCAACGATAGAGAAGAGGTAGTACACCGCAGAACAAAAAGATGATGCCTTAGAACAGTAAACACACAACACCGAAAAGAAAGAGCAGAGAGTCCCAAGCGCGCAGCGCACGTTAGCGCACTCACCTTGCCGGGGCCTTGGCATGCCCTCCCTGGGGGGCGGTGGGGGCCCTCTGGCACCGGGCCCGTGGCCACGCTGCATGGGGCCCATAGGACCCATGGGTCCCATGGGGCCGCCCCGTCCAGGGCCCTGCTGCCCGGGCCCGCCGTTGCGGTAGTCTGCCTCTTGGTGCTTCTTGAGGGGTGTCAGGAAGTTGGAGGGCACCAGCCCCCGTACGCCATCAAGCTCCCCCATGTAGAAGCCATCGTCGTCCATCTCGCCGTACACGTAGATGATGTTGCCCGTCCGGAAGCTCAGCTCCACTTGCTGCTGGCAGAGGGCGTGTTTGGGGGCCGGGCAAAAGAACAACAAAGAAAACCACAACATAACACCGCGGCGACGTTCAGGCGAAAAGGGTAGCAACTGGCTAGCAAGCGCGATGAAGCAGTGAGCAACTACGGAGTACTTGAACGCCGCCCGAGAGTGCCACGGCGCCGTGCCGTCTCGCAACACTTACATCGGCGTCGACGTTCGGTGACAGCTCTTGGGGGTCGTAGTCGTACAGGGCGACCATCTTCTTGACGGGGGTGGCAGCATACGTGTCTCCGACGCGGTCCCCGCGGTGGTAGTATGGATCGCCGCCCGGGTCGGGGCTCGTCACCTCAGCCACCGTGTTCTCGGGGATGAAGCCCTTGCGGCCGCGGACCTCACCCCAGTAGAAGCCGTCCGCGTCCCGCTCGCCGAACACCTGCACAGGGAGCCGCAGGCAGTGGAGGTTTAGGTTCCTGCCTGCACCGCGTTGCATTGCGGTATGGCCTCCCTCGCGGCACGGCATGCACCCTCACCTTGATGCGCTCCCCCTCCCGGAAGGACAGTTCCTCGACGCAGCCGTCCGGGTTGGGCGACATGGTGCTGGGGTCGTAATCGTAGAGCCCGACGAACCAGCGTACCCTGTTCTGCTGGCGCTGAGGGCCTTGCGCGGGCCCCGCGGCACCTGGGCCGCCCCGATAGCCCTGACCGGGCTGCCTGCCGTGCCGGCCGTCGGCGTAGTACTGGTCCCTGCAGAAGAAAAGCGCGGCGTCAGCGTCCAAAACTTTCTCATTCATCTTGACGTGAAAATGGGTGCGGAGGGACTCACCTGTCGTGGGGCCCCGCGCCCCGCCGCTCGTGCGGCAGCAGGGGAGGCCGCCCCCGTTCCGCGTGGCTTCGGGGCGGCGGCCGCTGGTCGTAGTGGCCTTGGTGGCCGCGCCGGCCCGCCAGGTAGTCCTCTTCACTGTAAGCCTCGCTCGCCGAGTCCTTGGTGATCTCTGCAAAACGATAGCGACGTTAGGGACCGACTTTGAAGTCTTCAGAATTGAGTAAGTGCCAGTGATGAGACAACGGTCGTGAACCACTTGTTTGGTTCAAGGAAATCGTGCAATGCTTGCAACTTTTTTGTCGACAGGTGATCCATGCCAACTTGGTTCGATGCGCAGTCCTAGCGAAACTTCACTCAACTTAACGCAAACTGCGAGCGTTTCAAACACGCCTACAATAAACTATTTAACTCATCGCCGAGTTAACATCAAAAGGAGGCATCAACCTGGAACCAGCAGCGCGCCACCTAGCGGCTGCGGCAGCCAACTAGACCTCGACCAATCAGCTGCAACGGCCACAAGGTGACGCCCTGCTGACTCTTGCTCTAAGGTCAGTTTCCTTCTTTACTCGGCCTCGAGTGGAATGATCCTTTCGGACACATCTTAAAAAGGCAAGTTGACACATGCGACTGAAGCAACGCCTAGCTAGTGACTGCCGGCCGAAGAAGGAAACACGGTGGCCACTACTGCCGACACAGTGCATGCTGTCATCTACCGCATCAGCATGAGTTGAAGTGGATGTGGAGGGGGTGGCACTTTTCAAAACGAGAAAATTTTACGGTCCGGTGATACTAGTGCTTCTAGTACAGGAAATATGATACATAAGAAACCTTCTAGAAGGCACTGTCAACTATCTCTGAAATAAATATGACAGGGATGATTCGGGTGTAAGTGAAGGAACAAAACATTTTTCACGGAAATTAAAATTAAGTGAGGGGACGGGTGTATGATAGGTCAGATGAATGGATGCACGAAGCGTGACAGGTTGCCACTACTCGGTTTAGATCTACGGGGTCTGAAGATATTACCTGCGATAGGGGCCAGAGACGAGTGGTAACCTGACAACAGAAAGCACGCCCTGGCTAGGCCACACAGTGTTGCTCCGGTGCATGCAGAGATAGAGAGAGATATAGATAGAGAAAGGGCGCCGCATGGCGCATCCAGGCCCACTTTTATTTCATACAAAATAAAAAGTTTAACGTGGCGTGTGTTTTGGTCTGGGAACGAATCGGACGAATCACTCGGCAGAGTTCGCTCAATAGAGAAGGAGTGAGACAGGAAAATGAAAACAGGGACCAGGTTCACCACAATTCCACTCTGGCGAAAGGGGCGGTAGAAAGAGATAGAGACACCAACACACACAGCAGAGTGGGGCATGCGAGCGGGGCGGGCGGCGCGAGCAGACTCACCTATCGAGGGGATGCTCATGCTGTTGCCCGGGTACACCTCCTTGTCGCTCAGGTTCTCCTCGGTCTCGATGACCACCTGGCCGTGCTGGTCCACGCGCGTGGCGCGCATGCCGTGCCGGCCGTGCTGGCCGTGCTGGCCGTGCTGCTGTCCGTAGCGCCCCCTGTCCTTGTAGTCCTTGTGGCCCTTGCCGCGCAGGATGGAGGTGGGGATGGGTGTGGGCGCAGAGTCGGCCGACTGGGAGTCCCTGGACTTGGTGCGCACCGTCACTTGCCTCGGGTTCAGCCCCAACAGCTTGCCGATGTCGATGAGCGCGTGGTCCCCTGCAAAAGCACGCCGTCAGCACCACTCCAGCACACACCACACCCACACGGGACGCCTCCCAAGTGCGAGAGAGGCAGAGCGAGACTCACCCGTGGGGCTGTCGACGTCGGTGACCTTCTTGCCGTCGGCGTAGACGGCGTACCCCGTGACGTTGGTGCTGCTGGCAGTGATGTTGGCCGTGACGGGGAGCCAGGTGACGAGCAGGGTGCCGTCCTGGGGCCCTGGCTCCACCTGGATCTCAGCCGGAGGGTCAGGCAGACCTGCGGGAAGAGCGGTTGCGTCACAAACCTGCATCCGACATCGCTCACACACACTCTCACACACGCTCGCACACAAATACGTGAAGAAAATGAGAAAATGGAAAGTAGAGTCTTCTTTTTAAAAAATTAAGCTTTCCAGCTGATACATAGGCTCACTCTGAGCAGACACAAAAGAAGATGCACTAAACCGTCTCCAAAGACGGACCGTGACGGTGATTAATCGCTACTAAGAAATTAAAAAGTGAAGCATCATGAAGAGAAACTCTAACTGAAGAAAGACAGAGCAAAAACGATGCCGAAGAAGTGCTCGAAAATAACTAAACACACGTTGCAACTCCAACATTTCACACCAGTTTCTCTGCTCTCGCACTCGTCAGTGCGCTTGGAGGACAGTAGTCACTCGTCAAATCTGCTTTCGGAGTTCGGAAAACGCAACATGCCTTTGAAATAAGAAAAACTTTACCAACTCACTAGTACACAGTGCTTGACAGAGACTGCTTAGTTAAAATCATGCTCTCCTATTTTAACATGTTTAAAGGTTTAATTCTATGTGTTTTAATTAATTATCTTCATGCGAGAAGAACTTTCCTTTAATTAAAAACAATTTTTATTCTTGCCTTTTACTGAGACCCATGAGTTCTGTTTCTCCCAGTTGCACTAGCGTCATGAGGATGCAAGCCATGCTGGGTGCGTGAGGAGAGGAGAGAGAGAGAGAGAGAGAGAGAGAGAGAGAGAGAGAGAGAGAGAGAGAGAGAGAGAGAGAACGTCCCACAAAGGATGTCAACGGAAGGCGAGGTGGAAAAGCTCGAACTACCTTACGATGGTTTCGCTAAGGGAAGAGTAACATGCACTTCAGGTACTCGTGTCGAAAATATCTTTTGAAAACTAATGCAGTAATCCGAAAGCAAAGAAGAAAGCGAAAGAAAATTGGGGTCAAAGGGAATAAAAAAGTGACGTCACCTTTGCAGCCTGATTTTTGACCGATCAATTTTGTACAAATTTGATTTCCCATGCAGGCAGGACAAAACAAGAAAGAGAAACACGAAATTAAAATGCTGTTGTAAAATAGCCCGAATTACATTTCTCAAATGTGCTGTTTTTCCTTTCTTTTTTGTTGTTTTGCCAAGTCATGCAAATTGTTGAGAAATGGAAATAAAATAATGCTCTTGCGTTGGATGGAAGCGTCGGATTTTCAAATTATTTGAGAAGTGCATTCGGGTATGCAGCCAATCCTGCATCGATGCGCTATGCTAGAAGCGACACACATTTTCTAGTACTAGGTCTTTTGGAACCACGTCAAAACGTCCCCAGTCCCCAGTGAGATTATCATTTTGCGGTCTAACATTTAGTTTCACCCTTCATGGAACCCAGTTCGAGGCTTTTAAAGGGTTTTTATGCAAAGAACGCTTTAGTATTTTTGTACAACCCCCATGTCTGTCCAACGACTTGGTTATCCAATAACGTACAACAGCAGCGCCTCTGTCAAGCAGTCTAATATGGGGCGCGTGTCTTACGGTCAATTTATCCCTCAACTGCAATCGCGAATGCGAAAGTGGACCATGCGGCCCATCGTGCCGTGCGTGGCCGCGCGCTCGTACCTTTGGGCAGTGTGACGAAGTCGATGTGACACGAGTACCTCTCCATCGGCAGGTTGTGCTTCTCGTCGAAGTGGGGCGCGCGGATGTTCTTGGCGCGGACCGTCACCCTGTACACGGTGTCCGGGGCGAGGCCTGCGGGCACAGGAAGGCGGGTCGGTTGAAGCACCGGATGGAAGCGAAGACGACAGAAAAACGGAGACTTACCGGTGATGGTGTGGCGGTAGACGCCGGGCTTGACCGTGCGCAGCTCCACGTTGTTGACGCACACCACGTGCTGGTGGTTCGAGTTGGCGGGCAGCCACGAGATTACCGCCGACGTGGACGTGACGTGCGACGCCTTGACCCGGGTCGGCCCCAGGGGGATGTCCTTGCCGATGACCATGGTGCAGGCCGCGTCGCGCGACGTCCTCCGGTTGGGCGTGATGGACCTCACGGAGATGCGGTGGGGCTGCGGCACCAGGAGCTCTCTGTCACGGTTCTGTCTCTCTCGCACCTGCGCGGAAGGCCGACCGCCACTCACCCGGTTTGAGTCGACGCCCTCGACGAGCGCGCGCGTCCTCTCCGTGGCTTTGACCGTGGCCTTGAGCACCCCGTCGACGTACAAGAGGTACGAGTCGATGGCTCCGGGTGGGCAGTTCTCGGGCGGGTTCCACCCGATGAGCACGCTCTTGTTGAGCTGCCGCTCCAGCGTCAGTTGCTTGGGTGGCGGCACTAGCACCGAGAAGAAGAGGTCTGTGTTGGTGGTCGGCGGGGCGCGGGGCGGCGCGGGGCGGCACGGGGCGAGGCGAAGCAGGCACGTGGCAAGCACAGCTCAGTCAGACACAGATATCCTCCCCAACAAGTGTTTTACCATTTAAGTTACAATATGGAAGGGAAAAGAGAAGTCAAGAAATGTATGAGTTGTGTAAATAGTTATTAATATCAAGGAGGCGGGGACACGATTTCGTTTTAAGTGTCAGTTGGGGGCTCCAAGAACCTTCACCAGCATTCAATGACATTCCTCCGTTGCAGTGACCGAACACAGATCTGGTGCATTTATCGGCATTTTTTTGTCATTCTTCCTCGCGGCTCTACGTGTGGCTAGTTTCTAGCTTGTGGGTGTGACCCATAGTGCCCCAGTTGAATATGATATATTGATTTTCTAAGATTTGTGATAAATGTGTCTTGATGTCATGGCCGGCTGTGTGCCCTACCCCTTCCTTGCCTCGCCTCGCCCCTGCCAACGGGCTGGCCAGCCGGAGGCCATGCGTACCGCCATGCGGATGCCGTTTTTACAAAGTGAGTGAGACTGTGAGACACGCTGTGTCGTCACCATACACGAATGCCAGTTGGAGTGCTGTGAGGTCACAGTGAGGGCACTACGACAGGAACAAGGGGCACCAAAGAAAGAGGCAGGCAAAATTCATGATCGGAAGGGATGTGCAACATATGAAAAGAATGCCAAAATCAAGACGGCTTCCCGGAGAAGCCGGTAGGATCTGTCCTTCTGATCATGCTTGAATTAGGTTGAAATTGAAATAAGGTAAACGTTATATCTACGTTTCTAAGCGGGGACTGCATGCTTCTGGTGACAAAAACCTCAGATTTACAGTCACTTTTTCAGGAAATAAGTGTGTGTGTGTTTCGGGGAGGGTCAAAAAAGACAAACCTAATGGTGACTTTTGTGCTGTGACACGTCACGGTAAAAACAATTGCTATCATGTGAAATCACCTTGGCACAAACATGCTTTTTTGTGTTACAGTGTATGTATTGGATATGCGTACGATTTTCATGCAGATGGATGTTCATGCACATTTTTGTACTTTTTACTACGTTCACAATAATTGTTGAGAGAGTACCGCGTCCCATCACAGGGTAAAACGCGCTTATATTTTTTTTAGTCTTTGCTCTTTTTTATGGTCCTGTGTAACGTTTATTGGGGTACTCTGTCTGGCCGTACCTGGTCCTTCACCCATCGGATCCTCATCCTCGTCGTCCATCATCTCGTCGAAGTCCATGTACGCGTAGTCGCGCTTGCCGTACATGGCCTCATCTGCAACAAGAGGGCGCAATGAGGGCAGCCACTGGAAGTCGCGGCGTCGCGGCCGCCGAAAAAACGAGAAAACGGTACCGTACATTACACACAACATTAGCGTAACGCTCACAAGCAAGGCAAGGTTCCAAGATAAGTTCGAATCAAGTCCAGCGAATGATACTTCCATGCAGAAAAACACCGCGGCAAACGCGGTGGGCTAAGCTACGCTGGGACACAAATAAAGCGACGCTGGGACACTCTACTGTATGTAGTCGCCGAACTTACAAAGTCTTGCATACAAAAAATTACAACAATACATTTCGGCATAAGTGAAAATAAATGTGAGGCGCAATGGCATTAACAGCGAATGTACAAATGTCTTTTCCCAGTTCTGTAAATGACGAAGACTAAAGTGAAACCGTCCGGAGGTTCAGAAAAGAAAGATGTTCCGTGGTCGCTGAAGCTGAGCAGTCTGCAATGGTGCGTTGTCGAACTCCGTGTCTACCCCACCCCTTTCGAGAAACCATTTTGAACCGCTTTTGTCAAGACAACTCTGTGTGTTCAGCTGTGTGTTTCGGGAGGACTGGGCAACTCTGCCGTGCTAAACACCAACAACTCAATATATACAAAATACAAAAACTAACACAGGCACATCGAGGGAGGGGTAAGAAATATTGAGAAAAAAGGTTTACATTACTTGGATATCACTGACTAGGGTGTTTAGTACCACATATTACTACGGCTATGAGGAACCGTCGGCTGCCACACGAATAGCCCTACTCAATACGGAAAGGGGGTTGCTAAAATCGATCTGAGCTACCCATCAATACCGACAGAGGGGGCGAACTCTTCTGCACATGAAACCCTGTTAAAATATAGCTCCCGACAAAAGCTGCATTTAAAGCTTTGCACGCGATAGCGCTTGCCGCATTCCAGCATTCATTCTCCGCGTTGACCATCGAGTCTCGGCTCAGTTGGAAATCACAATTATTGTTGCATCAAGTTCGCTCCTTCTGTCTGCTGGCTCAGTGTTGCCAAGCCTTTTCTTGTTCTTTCGGTTTTACAGAATTATGACGCAATCAAAAGCAGGAGCTGCCCCGTTTGATAAAATATTTTCTTTTGATCGGAGTAATACCAGACACCTTACTCTTCACAAAGATTACAAATCTGGACTTTTAATTTTTCCTGTATTTACAGAGTTAGTTCTGGTGGTTCTGTTTTAATCATTTTTTTTTGCAAAAGGTTTTGGAACTTTTTGGCACTTTTTGGCGAGCGATAGCGAGCCCTTGCCGTGTTTGGGCTAGAGAGCCTGGATTATGAGAGAGTCGTCAACCGTTCTCGACGCTCATTGGCTGAGCTCCGATGGAGCTAGAGCAGCGGATAAAATGCTGCCTGAGGTGCGCATAACCGACCCGACGCGACGTAGTGGCGATCGGAACAGCCAAAAGTCAAGCCTTGGCAGCCTTGGCAGTCATGGTAAAGCAATGCATTCAAAAAGCGCTGACACATTTCTCGATAAATTTCGACCTAACCTTACCAGTGTCCATGCACAGGCTGCAAAGGCCTGCGCTCCGGCTCCATCGGAACTCAGCCCAAACAGCGTTTGGGCCCCCCACCACCCCGGTTGACGACTCTCTCCCCCCCCCAGGCTCTCTGTTTTGGGGGCTCCGAAAAGTGACTGGTCGGGGTCTGTCTGTCTGTTGTCTGTCTGTAGCGTACACGCTCACGTTTTCAGCAACTACAACACTAATAGTTACCAAATTTTTCACCGAACATCCCCTAAAGGTCCCACAGGGGGAGTTTTTTTTATATTCACGATTACTACCGTTTGAAATATTCAAAACATCTTTTTGAATTAGGTTCTTAGCGTGGTTAGGTTGGCAGCATATATAGCAATTTTTCATACTTGCGGCCGCGGCTCTCAAATACGGGACTGGCAAAACATTGGCAAATAAAACAAAATAGAGAGGAGAAGGGCTTAGAAGTGAGTTCGGTCTTAGTTTTTCGATATTCTAGAATGATTGAAACCCCCCCGGAGTGTCAACACAGTGAAATACGGAAAAAGAAAGTGACAATTATTACGCGTTTCGTCCGTCCGTCCGCCCCCTCCCCTCCCCCGCCACAGGGGAAATGTTTTAGTCAGTGGAGTGTGTTTGATCGTTTGATAATTGCAAGAATGATTTGGTCTTTTTAAGTTTTGAGAGTTTATTTCCATTTTTATTCTCAGACATTATACTTTTTAGTTGTTTGCTTTGCTCAATAACAGTTAGAAAATAGATCAATGCAATCTAAAAGTACAAACCAGACACTAATCTTGCCAAAGTAAATAGTCTTTGCTGACTCTTGGCACTGACTCTGGGGAAAGGCTTCATTGCAATGCTGTAAGTTTACTATAGTACTAACCTTAAAGATAACTATATGGTGAGTGAGAGTAGCGCATACTTGGTTTGACATTGACATCTGATTCAATGAGACGATTCAGTGACTTGGTCATATGATTTCATGAGACGATTCTTTTAACTTCATCATACATTGTCTGCGACAACTGGTAATTTGTGTCAGTCATGGTTTGAGTTGGCTGTCTTTTTAATTTATTCAGAATGTTAGGTAAATACTTATGCTATACTGTTTTAAAGATTAAATATCACATCATGACTATCATTATGAATAAGATTAACATGCGTTTAGCAATAAGTGGGCTCGACATTGAATTCAATGGAACGATTCATTGGATCTGACAGAAGGTCTTCTCCGTAAAGTAGTTGCAATCAGCCTGCCTGTAAATGTGTCTCTTTTTAATGAATTGAGATAAATCAATGAAGTTTCATCCACTAGTTTAAAATAAAAGGGAGATAAAAGGCTTTTTAGGTATTACTTATAACATTGTGTATTCATAAGTTCGATATCGAATGGTAATTGAAGCATTTGTGAATCGTATTAAGTAATTCAATGCTGGCTGTTGAATGTTACTCGACTGAGTAACAGTGTTAGGGTTCATGTTATGACACAATGAACAGGAAACACACTTAGAAATTGCGAAAATAACTTCCAATTTCATCCCAGACCATTACTTTTCCCAACATTTACCAATTTCTGAACAAAATTTTGAAGTCGAGTTCTACATAGTTTCCTGCAGTTTTGGGTGTGCTGATCACGAAAATGACTTCCAATTTCATCCCAGACCTTTACTTTTCCAAATATTTACCAATTTCGGACCAAAATTTTTGAGTCGAGTTATACATAGTTTCCTGAAGTTTTTGGTGTGCTGATCACGAAAATGACTTCCAATTTCATCTCAGACCTTTACTTTTCCAAATATTTGCCAATTTTGGACCAAAATTTTTGAGTCGAGTTTTACATAGTTTCCTGCAGTTTTTTGGTGTGCTGATCACGAAAATGACTTCAAATTTCATCTCAGACCTTTACTTTTCCAAATATTTACCAATTTTGGACCAAAATTTTTGAGTCGAGTTTCACATAGTTTCCTGCAGTTTTTGGTGTGCTGATCACGAAAATGACTTCCAATTTCATCCCAGACCTTTACTTTTCCAAATATTTACCAATTTTGGACCAAAATTTTTGAGTCGAGTTTTACATAGTTTCCTGCAGTTTTTGGTGTGCTGATCACGAAAATGACTTCCAATTTCATCCCAGACCTTTCCTTTTCCTAAAATTTACCAATTTGTGACCAAAATTACAAAGTTGAGTTTCCCATTGTTTCCTGCAGTTTTCAGTAAGATAATCACGAAAATGACATGAATTCCGGCCTTTTCGTGACGGAAGACACTGTATTGGCCTTATTCTCCACATATTCTTCGCCATCTCCTATAAGAATGTGTTCAGACGCATCGCTCGCCTACTACGCGCCCAAACTAAACGGCGCGTACCCCTAGTTTAAAAGTGCAAGTCCAGTTGCCTTGGGGACGTGAGCGAAAGAAGCGCACGTGGACTCGACACAGGGCGAGCGTTGCTCGTGGGGCCCGTAAGACCCATGGGGCTCATGGGGCCCGTCCCCACGGCCCCGGAACTGCCAGCAGACTTTAAGGCGGCGTTCTCCGATAGAAAGCTCGGCCGCTCCGGCACGCTGGCGGATCTCTGCCCCGCAGGCTCATTCCGAACAGTGATTTTGTCGCTGCATCTCTCCCGCGTTCATGGGGAATCCCGTAGGGGTGCGGGAGGGACAGAGCGACGAAGGCACTGTTCGGGACGAGACTGCTGCTCGCTCGGCTGGCCCAAGGCCCCCAAGGCTGGCCCAAGGCTTGGCACCACTGGCAGACCGGCCTGCCCCGCTCTGGCTCCGCGCTCCGCCTACGCCGAGGCGGACAGAGGCCATGCACCGGGCCAAAGGGCCATGGCTACGCTGCTGGTCTACGTTTTGCACTACGGTTTGGGTGCGGCAGTTTGCACGTACGTGTCCTGTGCCGCGAGCGGGACCTCGACCTGGACCGGGAACGGGAGCGGGACAACGAGTGTGACAAGGACCTGGCGGCCCGGGCCGGGGCCGAGGCCGAAGTGGCGGCACGGCCTCCGCCGTAGCCTCCGCCGTGGCCTTCGCCGCCAGCGCGGGCGTGGCGGCCGAGAGACTTGGCCCGGGCGGGACGTCGGCAGTCTCTCCTGGAGCGGTGGGCGCGGTCGCCGCGGTCCCGGGTCCTCGGACGAGAGCGTCGCCCTGGTGGCCCTGGTGGCCCTGGTGGCCCGCCTTCCTCCCAAACACACAGCCGACAGAGTCGTGGGGGCGCGTCGCGGCGTGGGGGCGTCGCGGGGCGCGGCCCAAACACAACAAAACATGTCAAAGGGGTGGACCCCCCAGGGGCCGACCCCCCCGGGGCCCCCCAGGCCTCGCCCCACCGTGGGCCCCACCGTGGGCCCCGGGCCGCCCGGCTAGAGGGAGTAGAGCAAATGACACCATCAGACCTCCAGCCTCAACACTTGGGACGGCACAGTCGAGGCAGAGGGGCCGCCCTGGGCCGCCCGGGAAGGGCCCCGGGGCCCTACGGGGTGTCACGGGGTCCCAGCAGACCCAGAGGCTTCATGGGGCCCAACGAGACCCCACAGGGCCCCACCAAGTCCGCGAGGCTCACGGGGTGCTCCCCGTGAGGCCCACGAGGCAGGGGGCCCTCTTGCAAGGACGAGGCAAGCTGGCTGCCCTCGAAGGCCGTCCAGTCAAAAAAAAAAAAGAAACACAATCAAACCAACAAACACCATGGGGAATTACTGTACAGGTGCTTACTTTTGGGTCGGAAGTACATGCAATTAGGGGGCGGTTCTCAAGCGATGGCATGACACGAAAGGGGCATCTCTAGCTGCAGTCTGGCCAGTGGACGCAAGTCTAGAGGCGCGCCTACGTCGAGTATTTATAGCCGTTTTATCTTCTACTTAACATGAGGCTAGTTTAGGTTCGGTAAGATAGGAACGGGATCAAAGAGCAGTGCAAATGTGTTTACAACGGATTCAAAGTTAAGCTGAGAGAGAGTCGTTTTTCCATAAACACGTTCACTGCGGGGCTACTTTCGGAACGGTGTTCCACGTTTCCTATGGCTACGCAGGCTAGATACACAAATGCCCGATGCCCGATGAAGGACGGTGCGGTCGTCAAAGAAAGAAAGTGAACGTGCCAAGAAACTCTCTCTGCGTGGGCTACACACAGCTCTACCTTCTAGGTGACTGGAAAAACAAGTGCGGGTAGAGCAAACTTTTTTTTTCTCTTTCATATGAGACGTTCTAAGGACAGGACTGTCGAAGCCTAAGGAGTGAGCGCGAGGCCCAGAGAACTTGGACAAAGCGTCGAGCGCATCACAGTTTTACTCGCCCGTTCTGTGTCAAGCATGGTAACGTGAATCTCGCGCAAGAAAAAGAACAACAAAAACATTTGACAGCGAATAACGTGTGGAGCCAGCGGGAGTTGGCGCCTACTCACCGAAGTACTCGTGGCCCATGGAAAAATCCAGGTCCTGCGGGAGGGTGGTGGAGGCACAGTCGTCGCAGTCGCGGAGGCCAAGCACCACGCTCTGGTGGAACTCAAGCAGGTCGTCGCCGACCAGCTTCTGGATGAAGTTGCTGGGCACCAGCCCGCGCCGCCCGTCCAGCAGCTCGCCGTCGAAGAAGCCGTCCTGGACAAGGGGGCCGCGTTAAATCGCATGGTTCGCTTGCACAGGGTGTGTCGGTGACGAAAAGCCTGACCGGCCGGCGTACCTCGTCCATGTTACCCCAGACGAGCAGGTAGTCGCCGCCGTTGACGGCGAGCTCGGCCTCCGGGTTGTCGTTGGGCGACTGCGCGAAGGGGTCGTACGAGTACCTGGCGATGTACACGTAGCACCGACCCTTGCCCGGGATGTCCAGCATGTCCACTTTGCCTGCCGCGCTGCCAAGGAGGTGCTGTGCGTCGAGCATGCCTGCGACGAGACTTGCGGTCAGGACATGGCACAACAACAAGGAGAACAACAACAACGCAAAAGCAGCTTGGCATCCCGTACCTCGGTCCACGTCGAACTGGGTGGTGACGATGCCCGGGATTTGCGGCATCATCCGGGACTGGTGCGAGGCGCCCAGCAGGCCGGCGCGGCCCAGCCCGCCCAGGGGGAGGTAGCTGGACATGGGCTGCACCAGCGCGGACGGCTGCAAAAGTCAAGGCTTGAGTCAAGGCAAGGCGGCGGAAAGGTCGGGAGGGGCCGCAGGGCACCGCAGGGCCGGAAGGGCGAAAAGAAGACAGGGAAACAAAAGCAACAACAAAAACCGAGGGGTGGTTCAGGCGCGAAGCGACGTCGTCGCTCTGTCTCTCTCGCCCTCATACGGTGCCCCGGGCCGGGGAGCGATGGTGCGAGAGAGGCAGACGCTGAAGCCGTACCTGCGACATGCCCAGCGGCAGCGACGTGGTGATGCCCGTGAGCGGCAGGGTGGAGACGGCGGGGTGCGAGTGCAGGCCCAGCGCGTCCGAGATGGTCTGGTGGCGCGTCGTGTCCACTGTAGTGCCTGTCAACAACGGCACCGTCAGCGCGCAGCAGTCAACCAGTCGCTCCGTCTCTCTCGCACCTCCACAGAGAGAGACAGACGAGCCTTCAGGCCGACGACGGGGTGGAGGTGCAGTGGCTGGCCGGTGCGGGGGCGTGCGCGGGGCGGGGCCTCGCCTGCGACGCGCCCTAGTCGCGCCTTGCGGCGTGCAGGTGGTGCCCGTGGTGCCCGAGTTCGGCGAGCTCCACGGCGAGGACGCCCCACAGGCCTCACAGACCTCACAGGCCTCACAGGCCGGCGCAACAACCACACGGCCTTGGACCGGCGCGCCGCCTTGGCGCCGCCCGCCGCACCGCGACGTTCTAACTGGCCGAACGGCTGCGGCGCCAGCCCTCTGGAGACGTCTCTGGGCTACAACAGGGGAAATAACTATCTCATTTCAACTTTCGGCCGATTTGAAAAGAAAATCGTTCTACGAATTTGTGTTGCATTGTACCAGTTATTTAATTTTAAGTCCGAAAGTTTGATTCTATTTTTTCCGGTTAGTTATTTCCCCTTGAAACTACGCGGCTATTCACAGCACACTTGGAATGACCAGTAAAATAATGATTATCGGAGTCACTAAGCGTTACGGTTGACATGCACCAAATAGTAGTTTTTGCGTGAGGTTGATGCTCCGAAAAAAAAATGAAACAGAAAATGAATGAAACGAGATGAGAGTGCTGCGGAACAGACCCTGTCAGAGAATAAAACTCAGTTGTCTCGACTAAAATTTTAATTTCGGGACAACTGTACTAAAATTTTGGTTGGTCTGGGGCGTTTGGCCTTCGGATGCGAACAAGATTTCGATAACGGTGGTGCTCGAGTAGATGCACGCTTCGCTGCCCCGACAGACTTTGTTCTTCACCCGAACATTTCTTCCCCTTAATCCAACCAGCTCTATTCAAATTTATGAACAACAACAGCACTTATTTTATGGGGGTCGTTTGCCAGAAATCGAAAATAAAAATAAAAATAACTTTTTGATGCCCTTCAATTTTGCATTCAACACAAGAATGTCGACGGGACAGGTTTAAGACACGACACAAACGTTGAGGGCAGGCCAGGGCAGGCGGGTTCCGGGCGAGTCAAGGGGCGAGCAGGCCGAGAGGGTGGGGGGCGATGACTGGGGCGATGACTGGGCGATGAGGTGTCGGGGTGGCCAAACTCGGGGCTTCGTGCTCATTGGAGGATTCGCTTCCATCAAGGACTAAAATGTTGTGTAGCGCACTACTCTGGTTATGACATCTACGAGGAGCTATTACAAAAAAAATGAGCTTTGCCTATTTGACTCATCATAGGTTGATTATGAGTGATGTATCCTACAGAAGCTTTTCAACGATTAAAAATTTCAATGTTTACTTTCTGTCCAAAGTGAATAACGACCAGAAAACCCTCTTTAAACCAATGATAATGGTTTGTGTTTGTTTCCGCACTTTTTGGTTTAATCCCCCAAGTTCAATGTATCTTAATGTATTTTTTTCTTAATTTTTAAAAGGAAAACACGGGTTAAGGCCGCAAAGAGGTTTCCCTGGCCGTGCCCACTACGCACTGCATGCACTGCGCTGCGACATGCATCAACGGCTCTGCGCGCTCTGCGTCTTGGGAACCCCCACGAAAGGCGACCCTGTCTGTGTGGTGCACACCGTGGTGTGACAAGCACTCTAAATGAAGCGACACGAATGGGCAGTTCGTGGCAGTCATACCGCCAAGCCGGAGGGCCAGATGTTACATACAAAAATCAAAGTTCTTTAAAACAAAATGAAGCAATTTAATGCGCCCCACCAGAATGATAATGCTCCCCGGGGCGCCTCGCGGCTTGGTGGACGGACAGACGGTCATGGGGTACGTGTTTGACTTACTCCTCTCGCGACTGAGGCCGTGGCTGTGGCCGTGGCTGTGGCCGTGGCTGTGGCCGTGGCTGTGGCCGTAGCTGTGGCCGTGACTTTGGCCGTGGCTGACGCCGTGGCTGTGGCCGTGGCCGAGCCTCTGGCCGAGCCTCTGGCCGAGCCTCTGGCCGAGGCCATGGTGGTGGTGGCCGTGGTGGTGGTGGTGGAGGCCGTGTGAGTGGCGGGGGCCTCGCGGCACGGTCAGGTAGTGCTGGGCTGCGCCCGCGTTCGGCCCGTGGGGGCGCGACCCGGTTCGGGGCCTGGGGGCGGAGCGGGAGCGCGCGCGGGACCCGCCGCTGGCGGTCGGTCGCCGAGGGGCGGGGGCGGGCGGCGGGGAGGGCGAGGAGGCCGGCGTGATGGACACCTCGACGGCCCTGCTGGCCTTGCTGCCGCCCGGAGTGCCGCCGCCTGCTTCAACATAGTGTCTTGGCATCAACGCTGTGCGTTTGTTTCTACCCTCTTTTTTGTTTTTTAAATATTTCCATTCAGTATCCGCTCACCCAGCCGGCCTTTTCAGTTTACAACAAAGAGGGCGGAAAACAAGAGACAAAAGAAGAGACAAAAAAGAAATGAGGGAACGAAATGAAAACGGAAGGAGGGTGGGCGAACTCTGCGCGAAATCGATCTCGCTCTCGTTCGGGCTGCATCCTGCGGCATCCAGCCGCATCCTGCCGACCCACACCAGCAAACAAAGCAAACCAGCGACTTGCCGATTTTTACAGCAAAACATAAATAAAATAAAATGATATGGTGACGCGCGGCATCGCGACAACGGGGTGTGGTGACGTCAGCGCCCTCGGCGTGCTGACTATCGGGTCGGGGGACGAGTCCGGACGAGTCTAATCTACGCTCTACGGCGCCTGCCCGGCCTGCCCGGCCTGCCTTACTCACCAATCGTGGACCTGGTCTTGTCCAGCTCGGCCAGGATGCGGTTGTCCTGCTCTATCTTGGCCATGATGCGGTCGATCTCCACGCTGGAGGCCGGCGCCTTGGTGGTGGTGTTGCAGCCCGACGCGGTGACGGCTGGCGGCGAGTGCGGCCTCGTCGTCAGTTCTGTGGGCCGCGTGTACAAGCATGATCCTTGGTGGCCTTGGTGCCCCGGGTGGCCCTGGAGGCCCGAGTGGCTGTGGTGGTCTGGGTGGCCGGGGTGGCTATGGTGATCTTGGTGGCTCGGGTGGCCGTGGTGGCCTTGGTGGCTCTGGCCTAGATGGCCCTGGTGGCCCTGGCCGTGCTGGTGGCCGTGGTGGCCGTGGTGGCCGTGCAGGCCGTGGTGCTGAGCCTGGTGGGCCTGGTGGGTCTGGCTCTGCGGCCCAGGGAGGTGCCCCAGGCGGCCGGCGTACGGCGAAGCGTACGGCGCAAAACCTGAGCAAGGTGCCGGAGCAGTGCCAAACAAGCTGTCAAGCAGTCAACAAGCCAAAACACACTCTCCAAGCGCTACGGTCAAGATCAACGTGACCGCGGTGCCCTGCCGCGGCCGCTGTAGGCACGGTCCGGGCATCGGACCGACCGCACTAACCCAAGCTAAGCTCGTGAAGCGGCCGCAGCCGACTCATTCCAACCAGCGCTACCGTCGCTCTGTCTCCCTCGCACTCGTGAGGAGTCCGGTACTGAAGCAGGAAGGACCGAGTGACAAAACGCTGAGCAGAATCAGTCGCCAGCGAGGTCGCCAGGCTCAATTCGATAATGCATCAGTCAGAAGCTGCGCCGTGTCCCGACGGATTTAGTCTCTCTGACAAGCAGCATTAAATCAGAGCGACGGCGCGCAAACTTGGCTCTCTGGAATGTTTGACTCATCCCTCGCGTCTAACAGGCTTACAGCGCACTGCCGACTACCCCTCGGCAATGAGTCATCAGCGATAACTAGCCGCACCCCTCCCCCACTCAAGTGATGACGCAATGGAAGTGTCCAGCTTAGCTAGCCGAATCAGCGGCGTGTCATACGCTGCGAGACTGGTGCGTCACCCGCCCTCTCAAAACCCGCGCTCAAAAAGCTCGTTTCTTTTTGAAATAAATGATTTGTACTAATGCGCAAACCAAAGGCTTTTATAATGCGTCGAAATACAAAGCTGACGAAACCGCGTCATTTTCCATAGTACATTTTTTGGAATGCATGCATTGCTGAATACATCAAAACTGCCGAAAAGTGCCGCGTTGGGATGAGCGCGTTGGCGTAGCCAAGCCGTGCCTTGAGGCCCTCGGAGCCAGCAGCCAGCCCAGGCGCCAGGCCCGGCGCTAGGCGACACCCGTCCCCAGAACACCCCCAGAACGCCCCCAGAACATCCCAGGGCACTCAGTTCAACTTGAGAACGCAAAGGTGCGGCCGACTGGCGGACTTACCGGTGGATGGCGACGAGCAGGTGGACGCCGACTCGCCCAGGTAGGAGCGGTAGTCGACGCCCATGGCGAGGCCCCTGCCGCTGGCGTCCCTGGCGTCGCCGTTACCGCTGCCTGCAGCGGACGTCCCGGCCCCGGCCCCCTGCGACGCGGCCCCTACCGCCCCCTGGCCGCCCCCACCCCCCTGCCCGGGCCCCGGCCCGCCCCCCGCGGGCCCCGAGGACCGCTTGATCGACGCCATCTCCAAGAGCAGCTCTTCGTGGCGGACATTCTGCAGCTCGGTCTTCTTCTCGAGCTCTCGGATCTTGGACTGCAACAAAGCGCGGCACACCGTGCAGGATTTTTAGCCTGCTCGCCAAGACGGCTTGCGTGCGATGCATGCGCGGGGCGTCGACCCTGCACTGCACAGCACTCCACTGCTCTGCGCCTCACCTGTAAGGCTTCGATAGTGTCGCTGGCGGCGCTCCTATCCGAGCCGGCGGCGTTGCTGTTGACGGCGTGGCTGTTGACGGCCGCGTTGAGGGCTCCAGGCATGCTGCCCGGCATGCCGCAGGAGCCCTGCAAGGCCGACGCGCTGGGCGCCATGGGCCCCGAGGTGACGGAGGAGACATGGCTGGACGTCGGGCCCTGGTTCTGGAACTCGGACTGCTTCAAGCGGAGCTGTCGTAACGTGTCGGCGTGCTGGCGTTCGAGGTCCTTGCGCCGCTCTTCGGCCTCGCGCATTTGCTGCACAGGACGGAAAGGCAAAGTTTGGAATTAGTGGGTGCGCGGCACGGTCGGGCCGCGCTATCGCCCATCGGCCGAATGAAAAGGCCGTAAAAAGCAGTGGCGGTGCCAGACGGCCGGACGGCCAGAGGCAACAGGTGGCTGGCCGACCAGTCGAGCGACCAGTCGACAAGGGTACCTTGAGGATGGAGTCCAGGGTGGCTGCGGGGAACGGCCCGCGGGGCGGTGCCTGACTCTCTGCATTCACCTGCAACACGGCCATACGGCGCGGAAGGGTTGCTGTCAGTGTACGCCACAACAGTGTACGCGAGGGTGACTGCCACGCGGCCGTGTGGGCGTGTGGGCGGCTGTCTCCCACTGGGGTGGCGTCGTGTCTCCCCAGACGCGAGGCGGGCAGATGTCTCGTATCGCTGGCGAAAACAACAGTCTCCAACCCCCACCCCCTCCCCCTGCCTTGCCTAGGCCCAGCGAGGCGCAGCGCCGCCTATCTCTGCCGGGCGGAACCGGGCGGAGCCCCTAGCGGGCCTTGGAGGGTGTTGGAGGGCTCTGGGGGTGGCGGCGCGCGCGGCGCGGGGCGGGGCAGCCGCCGCGTCCCCCAAGAAGGGCCTGCTCGTGTTCAGACGGAGTTTTGAGGCCCCATTCCGGCCGCTAAGTTACGACAGCTGCTCGCTTTTATGCCCCGACTGCGGGGGCGTGCCGGGCCCAGCGTGGCGGGGCGGGGCGCGGGCCGCATCAAGCGAGACAAGAGACAAGCGGGCTCGTGTCACGGCGCAACCGGGTTCCAGGTTTTCGGGTTCCGGGTTCGACTCCCGGCCGGGGCGGCGCGTTTTCGTGGCCATGGCGCGGTGGGAAGGCGGGAATTGGGGCGAGGCGGATGAGGACGACGAGGACGACGAGGACCTGCCCGCCCTGTTTCTGACAGCTGTTAAATTAGGAAGCAATGGTGCAGAACGCCTGCCGGCCTGCCGGCCCGGCTGCCTCCAGGCTGGCGGCGCTGGCGGCGCTGCTGGCGGCTGCAGGGCGGTGCTGGGGTTGGGGGAAGGCCAAGGCAGCGGTTCCCAACCTTTTTCAGTTCGCGACCCCAAATTTAATACAAAAAAATTTCCGCGACCCCCAGGAAAAATTTCGCGACCCCACGCGACCCCTCCTTTAGCATGCCTCTGATACAAAGTGCGATAATCCACCTTAGTTTGGGAGCAGTATTGCCGCAAAGTTGATCAAAACGGCCACAAATGTCTTCGAAAAATCGTGTTTTGGGCCGACTTTAAGCAGCCTTTGCGTCTGATCCGAGGCGGTATTTCGTCTTCCCTTAGCGGGCATTTGGTCTTTGGACCTTCCTTTAGCATGCATTTGTTACGGAGTGCGATTATCGGCCTTAGTTTGGGAGCAGTATTGTCTCAAAGTGGATCAAAATGGCATTCAAAGGCATTTTATACTGTTTTCATCAACTTTGAGACAATACTGCTCCCAAACTAAGGCCGATAATCGCACTCCGTAACAAAGGCATGCTAAAGGAAGGTCCAAAGACCAAATGCCCGTCGAGGGAGGACGAAATACCGCCTTGGATCAGACGCAGTTGCTGCTTAAAGTCGGCCTAAAACACGAGTTTTCAAAGGCATTTTCGACCGTTCGGCGTCGTCTGGTCATACTCACATGTGGGTTTGTGTTATCGGTGTGGATCACATTTGCACTCCGTTGCGAAGCGTACGGTCCGTCCACTCGCCCCCCGGACCGATGGTGATAATCCTGCAACAGACGGAGCAGACAGTCGTCAGGTCGAGCGCGCCAACGTCGGAGGCGCCGGGCGGCGCGAACATCAGCGCCACTTTCAGGACAGCCATCGCGTTGGCGGTGCCCGCGCGCGGCACCACTGCCCAAAATTCTTCCGTCAAACTTCCATCTCCCCCCCGAAGCTGAAACTAATTTGGGCAACGCGGGCCCGCCGCGATATCTCAAATAGTTGTCCAATTCGCCCTCCCCCGCCGTTCCAGACGGCTCCGGGCGGCTCCGGGCGGCGGCCCGATAACGTGATCTCCTGCCGCACGAGGCGTCGCGACGGACGCCAGGCGATGTCATCTATTTCAGCCAAAGACCCTAGTTGTTTCGTGCCCTTTCGTTGGAACGGCTGGAGGCAGGAGGCAGGGGCTGGAGGCAGGGGCTGGAGGCAGGGGCTGGAGGCAGAGGCTGGAGGCAGAGGCTAGAGGCCGCTTGCCGCTTGCAGCACAATCCAATGCTCTGGCCTGAGCCCGGCCATCCTCGGCCGTCTTGGCAGAGTGCCCTTCGGTCCGTAGGTCCGTCGGTGCCCCCACTCGGCCGCAATCCGCACCGCCCAGCACTATATTTCACCCCCACCCCCTCCCCCTTCTCCTCCTCCCCGGTCCGTTCATTGACACAGCAAGCATCGCAACAGACGTAAGTCGGCCTGGCTTCGGATAAACACGAACACTCCCGGGGCACGTACAGCGTGTACACTGCAAGCACCTAATCCGAGGAAAATAGTTACTTTCCGCTGGAGCAGCAAAAGTAGCAGAAGCAGCAAAAGGGCACGCCACCCTGACAGTGGCGAGGCAGGCCTACCTCACTCAGCCTGCAGGGCTGCAGGGCTGCAGGGCCCTGCCGACTACACTGCGTGCCGCGGCGTGCCCCTTTTTCGAATCAATAGGACACCCCTCCCCTCCCCTCCAACCCCTTCGCCGCTCCCTCGGCCGCCATGCTCAGCCCACTTTCGGCTTTTCACTATCCTCCGACACCCCTCACCTTCCCCCCCCTCCCCGATTCCCCCCAACGTGATTCGGGCCAAAGTCACGCGCCCCTCTTCCATCATCGTCGAGTTGGTAAATAGAAGCGCCGGCGAGCTTCCCGCATATTTTACTCATTTCCTCCAAATTTTTTCGCGTCGCGCTCGTGTGTGTGTGGGGGGGGGGGGGAGGGGGCGGAAGAGCGCTTGCACAAGTCACGAACATCCTTTGTGGCATTGAAAACCCGACCGTCCGTCGTTCATCTTCGGTGTGAAAATGGCTTCGAGGTACATTCAAACAGTGTCCGCTGCAGTTCTCCACGGCTCGGCTGCAGTCGGCCATCTCCCAGACTTCGGCGACGGCGCGCGGCGGGGGGAGAAAAGGGGGGGGGGGTGCTCGGATTGTTTGCGCATAATTACACGGCGTCAAAGTCACTTGGCGGCCGCGCTGCGCCGCGCCACGCTATAGGCTTGCCTCCTCAACAGAAATCGGGTCAGGCACATGCTGAGGCAGGACGGGCTGAGTGTGACTTCCAACCCAACCGTACTTCATCGCTACTCCCTCGCAGCCTTCCGGGACGCTCCCCCAGAGAGTGCGAGAGAGACGGAGAATAAGCTTTGCAGGCGTGGGGTTGCGTGGGGTACTGTTGCATGCAGCCTACCCGCTGCCGCCGTCGCCTAGCAGTGCAGTGCCTTGCAGTGTTGCAGTGCCTTGCCGCGCTGGAGGCAGCCATTGCCGGGCAGGCGATTCAGGCATTTAGGCCACGGGGCTGGCGGGCTGGCGCGGCTCGCCTGGACTGTTCAAGGCCCTCCTCGGGGCGCGGCGGCGCGGCGCGCGGAGCGACAGGCTCGTCCTTGCTCCGTGCCTCCGTGGAGGCTCCACGGTGCCTCCCCAGTCCAAGGTCGCCGTGGGCCCGCCCGCCCGCGGCACTGGCAAGCCAATCAGGGGCCGCCGTTTTGAAATTCCCGCCAAAAGTTGCAGGCATGGCCATGACGGCGCGGCGTGCCGACAAAACGTCGACAAAACGCCAAAACCTGACCAGAATGGGAGCTCTCGGCCTCTCGACGCTCTCGGCGCGCTCCGGCACTGCTCGAGGCCGGCAAGCCCCACAGGAGAGCGAGAGAGACAGACGACGGAGCGGCGACACGGCGACACCGCGCTGAGCGGCGAAGCGGCAGTGCCCCAGAGCCTCCGTCATTAGGGTCTATCTGGAGCACTCTATATATACCCCATCGGCCGCCAGCAGCGCCAGCAGCGCTGGCAGCGCCAGGGGCGGCGGCGGGCTGCCTCCGAACAGCGCTTCCGTCGCTCTGTCGCCCTCGCACTCGCAGCCGGGCTCAGCAAAGGGGCGGGAAAGAGACAGAAGCACTGTTCGGAGGCAGTCTGCGCCCCAACCCCGGGGCCAGCCCCGCAGCACACTGCACTCGTCCCACAGCAGGCCGATTCCGAACGCTGCTTCAGCTGCTCTGTCTCCCTCGCACTCCAACGGCCCGTCCTGCGAGCGCGAGAGGGATAGAGCGGCAATGCACCGCCCGGAAGCAGCCTCCAGAGCGACCCGAGGCGCACGGCCACGGCGCCACCCGATCCGAGCGAGCGACCCCAGCGGTCCGAACGGTTCGAGGCACAGCGCGAGCACACTCTAAGACTCGCGTGTCTATTTTGCGCACCCACGCCTTGCC